CAGCAGCTCAAAAGGAGTAGGGGTGACAATGGAAACCAATCTTGTCTGTGCTTTACGCGTTAGGTGACGCATCATCTAAAATGAAACCAACAGCCAAGTTAAAGTATCTCAAAGTCTGAGATATTCCAAGTGGCAAAAACCAGGACATGTAGATGTTTACTTCTCCTTCATCCAGTGAACTGTTAAGAAAATCAATAAGATGGTGAGGTGTGCAAAGTGGTGATAGTGAATAGCTAGTCTGGCAATTATGTTGCGAATCCATGCAAAACCCCTCTGACCTACCTGCTATAATATAATCATTTTCTTCCTTTAGCCCCATTCAACAAATAAACTATTTTATGTTGTAGGGGGATCTTAAGCCAGTATCCTTTTCCTTGGTTCCACCCCTTTCAAATTGTATAAGAATGCAGACAAGTTACTAAGTATCCCTGAGGGCCAGTTTGCTCTAAAAGAGAAAGAATAATACCAAATGCTCAAGGTTAGTGCAAGTATTTGAGATAACACTCAGTGCCTAGAACAGTACCTGGACATACAGATGGCACTCAGTATTTGTTGGATAAAGTACTTAGATTAATGTTTGACAACTGGATGGCATTCCTTATACAATCACACCTACCTACCACATCAACATTTCACAGTGTTTTGCAGATGACACCCCACCACCCAGGTCCTACTTTAGAAATGCATTTAACACCACATTCAGCTGTATCACTATAGTACTTACTAAACTCATCTCTATCACTCACTAGCACTGAGCCACAGTTTTATTTTGTTAATTACCAACAGGTATGTTTAGGCTATCTCCTCAACCAGATTATTAATGCATTGAGGCAAGGCACATTCATCCAACCTCTCCTAAGTGTTGATTATGTGAAGCACTCCCTAACAGAGACTTACACAAAACAGATGCGCAATAAACATTTCTGACTGACACAAAACACTAACTATAGAAAGAATAATACAGAAGGCATCTTAACTATTACACATAATACACATGTAATTCTTCCTGTCACTACCAGAGTCACTAATTCTAAGTCTACTTCTTGGAGGCTCATCAGATCACCTAACTTTACTCAAGCTCCTCTCAAAAGTCCTTGTTCTTCCACCAAACCACTCTCTCCTAAACAGGGAACCCCTGAAGGTCTTTCCCAACCTGACTTCATAAGTCAAACTCAGTTACATTTCAAGGTACCCTTTCCTGGTGTTTTGCTTCCATCTACTTCCCGCATAGCTGATGTTGCAACGAATACAAACTAGTTCATAATCTCATCTCAATGCAATGATTTAACTTAGCAACGAGTAGAGAGGTAACACGAATATTCCCACTGGATAATGAAGTCTTTACAAAATACATCTTCGGGAGGCCCTGAACTTCAAGATAGCATATGTAAATAAACATACAAATGAATACATAAAGTTTTATTTAAATACAGTGTCTCCCAGATAAATAGTTTACTTTAAAGGCACCATCTGTCAAACCCTTGTGAGTAATGAGTCCTTCCAGAGTAGTAAGGAAGGAAAGTTATAGATCTTCTCCAGAGTCACCTTTGTGAACATAGTCAAAGCAGAAAAGAATCAGTCCAAACCCATCACCCTCACTAGATTTACAATTCAAGCATTCCCTGACAGTGGGTGAAGAGATTCTTACTCTTTTCTGAAGACTAGGCATTAAAACAGAAATGTAACATATTGTGCTCTGTGTATACAGTTATAGGCCATGGCCCTGCCATGGAAAGGAATTCGCCTTTCCTGGCTCACTGGCTCCCAGGAGTGCTACAGCCCTGATTCTTTTCTACTGGCACAAAGTACAACTGTTACACTCACGTTAGCAGAGCTCAGAGCTGTGTCTACTCCTCGGGTGAGGGTCTAGGGAATTCCTCAAGGGCAAACACCTAGTCTTTTAGTGTTCGGCACTGTAAGAACTCAGTAAAAACTGGTTAACCAGTAGAAATATTGCCAAGGGGAATCACTCAAGTTTTCCTTCCTTGGGACTCCAAGGGTACCTTGTCCCATACCACATAATGTAACTTCTCTTATAAATTTCCCGTCCTGACAATATCTACTACAAACAGTCTTGGTTGAAATACACAAGTATATTTCTTAGAAATAAACTACCAAACAAACCAGTGGAGATTATTCGACAAATAACCCCCAATTACTCAGGGACTAATTAAACAGGACATATATATCTTCTTCACTATTTGTTTTTTGTTTTTTGGTTTTTTTTTGGATTCTTAGAACAATGATTAGATAATGTATAAGAAAAGAGAAATGCACTAAAATGTGTCAGGGTTTGTCAAGTTCAGTATCAAACGGAAAATAATAATAGTACTTGTGACATTTTTTTCTTCTGTCCGGAAGAGAGTTGGTAATAATTAGAAAAAAGGAGCAAAGGGGTCCAGAAACCATAGGTACAGGGGAGCCCTTCATGAACCTTTCCCTAAATCCACAGTCATTTGCAGGATCCAGTTCCTGCCCCGTGTGGTCTAAATCCTTACTACCCTAGTTACCTATTTTCTCATCCTCATTTCCCAGCAGACTTAAGCAACTGAAGTATTAATTACTGGACACGAATTCCCCTCACACCGGCCCTTCTACTTTTACTGCCCTGCCATTTCCACAATTAGGCATCACTTTAAATCTGAAGTATTCAGTTCATTTATTCCTACCTATGAAATGACTAGTTTGGGATATATAAATTTCAGTTTGTCTTCAGCACCATGTTAAAATAGTCCCTTTCCTCAAAAAGCCAATAATACTATAAAATATAGACTACTTTTTTTCCTAAAAAATACTATCCTCTGAAAGTACTGTGACAGTCCATATAATATATACACCAGAAACCAATCTAATAATTTTATCCAGGAATTAAATCACTCGGTTCTGTCCTAAACAACCTACCTTCGCCTTTCATAAAGCATAGCTAAAGTAAAATAATAAAATGACTACCAAACATTTGAATTACCGTATTTTACAGTGTTTAATGTGTTTGCATGTATATTGCACACTCATGTTTTTGACCCAAACTTTCAGGGAAAAAATTTTTAACTTTTAATTCAATTTTTCTATTTCTAGATAAAGCCTAGTATCGTATTCCAGGGTATTATTTTGCATACGGATATTGTTATTGCTTTCTAGAGTTACACTTTTAATGTATAAGCATAAATAAAAGAATTAGAAACTTTTCTATAGACAGAATTAGTACTACCCATGTATAATGTACATCCTTATTTTTACCTCAAAAATTTGGGCCAAAAAGGGCACATTATACACAGCAAAATATGGCAATTCTTCACAGTTCTCCAAATTTTGTTTTATTTGATGCTTTCAACAAAGACAGCAAGGCAAGTTTTATTGCTCCCAGTTTCCACATGGAGAAATGTAGGCTGAAAGAGGTAAAGGAATTTAAACAAGGTTTTTAGTGACTAAATTATCTTCCGATTCCTATTCTAGCACTCTTACCTACAGCCTCCATGACTCCTCAAATGCAGGGGGGAAAAAATCACTGAATTCCACTCAGCACGTCTAAACACAAGACTCCCCAGCCTGGGAAACACATCACTCTGCCTGAACTCTACTTCTGTCTCTGGGATGCTCCGCTGTGTCTGCTGCAGGATGCACGGGGACCACCTCTCTTTATTTTGCTGATAACATTACTGAAGATGATTCACAAGCAGAAAATAACAATAGACTCCTGTTAACAATCATTTTTATATCGGTTGTTACTCAGTTTTGACATCCAGACCACACCTATCCTGGCTATAATATAAAGGTTGTATTATAACCCATGAGGGTTAATAGTCTTCCTTGTAAAAGGTAAGGCTAATTTATTTTGTTTTCTTTTATTTTTGCCAAACAACATCAGCAACTCTTAATGCTCAAGAGAAGGAAAAGAGAAGCAGACAGGCAGAGGGAAAGGATTAAAGGGAGGATAAGAAAAAGATATAAATAGTAGAAAGCACTAGAGTAGCCCAAATGTACTTCGATGCTGTACCCAAGTGAGGGCTGACCCGTGTGCCTGAGAATAACCTTTGTCCTGAAGATAGATCCTGAATTACTGAGGACAAACCAGCACCCTCCAAAACTGCCAAAGGGATCTTAATGGTCAACAGCTGTTTTCCCTGTGGAGCTACAGTTCAAAAACATTGACAACCCTATGATAATACAAAAAAAAATGCACTACAACCCTACAACATGGTATCTAGCACACGTGACCCATGTTGGATTTAAGCCACTTAAGTTAAATACCCGCAAAGCGCCGGCTGTAAAATTTACCTACAAATTTTTACCAAGTTCCAGAATCACTAATATCATTGTGTACTTACACAAGTTATATTAATTTAGAATTGCTTTGTTCTAGTTTTCCCATTTCTTTTTCAGTAGAAAACAGGGACAATTGAAATTCTCATTATGAATCTGCTAAGAACTCATGGATAGAGAACAGACTGATGGCTGTGGGGGGCGGTTTGCAGGGCTGGTAAAAAAAGAGCAAAAAGATTAAGAAAAAGAAGGAAAGATTAAGAAAAAAAAAGGGAAAGGAAAAAACTGGGAGACACAGACAACAGTATGGTGATTACCAGAAGGAAGGCGGGGTTTGGGGAGGCAGAACAGGGTATGGGGGAGTAAGGGGTGACAAAGGAAAACGGACTTGAGATGGTGAACATGCAATACAATATACAGATGATGTACTACAGACTTGTACCCTGAAACCTGTATCATTTTATAAACCGATGTCACCCCAATAAATTCAATTAAAAAAAAAACCAAGAATCTGGTGGGAGATTCAGTCCAAAGATTTCTCAGGACAGTCTCATAACTTTTCCCAATGTTTTACTCCAGGTTCAATCGGTGCCAAGATTTCCATGCACTCAGTGCAGCCCGAATAAAACGGTGTTTCCCCGCCAACCCTGTCCCCACGCGCTCCTCCTTCCTGCTCCCCAAATGCAGCCTTTAATATTTGTAAATACATCAAGCAATTTCTTCCAAAAAGCAAATCTTACCTAGTGGTGATGAGGAAATGATTATCTGATGATCTTTATGACTGCTGCTCACTCCCAAGACTTCTCTGGAAAGTCTAGCACAGATTTAAAGAAAGGTAAAAAAAAAATCAAAGCACTATCGTTGACAAGAAGCCTTCAAGTCCACCACTGGCAATGATCAAGTTTAGCGTCTGAGTCACTGACTTACTGCATAATTTCACACAATATCACTCAGTATGTTAAACTAGTCCTGGATGAAGCGAAATGGGTTTTACCATTTCTATCGCTCCCCTCTCCAAAGTTCCGCCCCTCATTAAAGTTTCACGTGTTCCATGAAAAGCGAGTACAGGGATCATCTGATTCAACTTTAATTTCTCTCATTGCTTTTACCGTTAAAACTAGAGTTGTTTTACAGAACATACAATAACACAATAGATATTATTTAAGCAGTTTTTGTACATAGGCTTAAGTGTTTAAATAACATTACACTAAATATACACAAATGTTTTACCCAGTAACACAAAATTATACTCTTAAAACGAAAAGAGACTATTTATTTTATGACTAAACGACAGCGTTAAATCGTATTTACTAAAGAATAAAACGGTCAACTCATAAAAGGCCCACTTCAACCAAGTCTTTTTCATTGGTTCAAACTTTTAAACACATATCAGTATTTTTATTAACATTCAAAGTGAAAATATCCACTGTGCCTCCTGATTACAGGTTGATAAATGTGTAGACGACAATAAATACGAAAACAATGATTTTCAATCCAGGGAGTGAAGAAGCTCAAGTCCCAGAATAAAAGCACAGTGCCTTTCCCAGGAAAGTAATGAAAGATGAAGTTACGGGGGTCCGCGTCCTCAGAACTCAATTGCTCTCGGACACACTACACTTTCCATTTCTGATCAGCATCCTTTCACTCAACATCTGGCCGCTCACTCAGGTCCTCTAATTACTTCCACGTCTGAACCAACTACGTAGCTACAAGTAAAGGCCAAACTTTGCTTTCGGCCTTCCGAACTTAAAGATGCGTTTAACCACTAGAGGTCTCCCCTTGGCCAGTTTTGCACGTTCGCTATTTTGCTGCACTTGAAACTTTCCGGAGAAATGCTTTACTCGAGTCAGTGTTTTTCTAAAAACTTGCGCAAAAATCCACGCGACCGAGCTAACCAGTAGAGAGACTCTCGGGCTCCCAAAACTAATGAACATATTACAAACAACGTTATAGGAAAACCAAAATTAAAATTCGACGCACTCGCCCCAATCGCGCCGCCCCCATTCTTATTTCTCATCTGTTTTCCTTAACTTAAACTTAGAACAATTAAAAATCTGTTTTTGTTTCTGTGCGCTTTGAATGATCTCTAACGCATTTTTCTGGCGGTAGACCCGAGGTGGTTAAGGAACCGGCCAAGGGATGCAGGGAGGGGGAAGGGCAGACTCACAGCGTCCGAGGAAGTTGCATAAGGAAAGAGACTCCGTTTTTTGGGTCCCCCTCAAAAAATCGGCGGGGAGGGGGAGGAAAAGGAAGCGGTGGGGAGGGAGGGAAACCGAAGCGACGTTTACCTTCGTCTCCCCGTGGAAGGGTGGGGTAAGCGCCACGGTGTTCTCGACCCCAGAGGGCGGCTTGTTACCCCCACCTTTCTCCGAGCGCAGACGGACGATAAGATACCCCCACCAGTCCTCGGGCTACGCGGGGAGGAAACCGCCCGCTTTTAAACTTTCTCTCACGGTCGCGCTACGGGCCGTGCTTTAACCAGAAAGGGTGGGGGGAGGATTATAGGGCCTTTTTTTCTTTGTGGCAATTAAAGTTTTGCCACCACACAAAAGTTGTGCCCTCCCCGTGCCATGCCACCATCCCCCGTCCTCCAGCCCCCTCCTCCAGGACTCACAAGTTTTCCTCCATCTCCCCCCTACACCAGCTCACCGAGCGCGCGGCGGATGCCTCGGCTCCAGCGCTTCCCGATCCCCACCCCCGCCGGCCTCTACTTCCCCCCGCCCGGCCGCGGCGGCGCGAGCACGGCCCGCCGGGCCCAGGACGCGAGTGTGCAAAACCCATTATTCCGGAAAGGCACACGCACGCGGCGCAAGGCGGGCGGCGGCCGGCCTCGGACCCCTTTTTGCCTCCCCAATATAAGGACGACGTAAACAAGTTGCAGGAAAAGCAGCTCCGCGCCTGCCCCCACACAGCCCGCCGCCACCGCCCGCCGCTACCGCTGCTGCCGCTGCTGCCTCCCGACACACGCCCGCGCCCGCACCGGGGCCGGCGCTGCAGCAGCGCGGGGCGAACGCCGCGACGGCGCGGGCTCCCGGCCGGGCCCTCGGCCCGCGCCCTCCCCCGCGCGGACGGCCGCGGCCGGCCCGCTCCGCCTAGCTTCCCGAAGCACTTTCCTGCCTCGGGCAGAAATAAACCGGAGGGTTTATTTTTGTGCAACTTTCCCAAAATGGCGGAAATTGGAGCTGATCTATATGAAATTCTCACACAGTCGGTCGGGAAGGGGGAGGTGGCGAGGAAGAAAATGCAAACTCTCGGCCGCCGAGCCCTGCCGCGGGTCCGTGAGTGTGTGCGTGCGTGTGAGTGTGCGTGTGCGCGGTGGGAGTCGGGGAGGCCCTTCCGCCGCGCACACACACAGCACACGCCGGGGAGACGCGCCTGCACATTCAACCAGTTCATTCTCCGCAGCCCGAGCGGGGAGAAAGTGGCCCGGCCTCTTTTCCCACTGCCTCGGTCTCCCTTACTTGTACTTCTCGCGCTCGCTCGCTGGTTCGCTCGCCGGTGCGCGCCCGGCACAAAGGCCACACGGGCGGAGGGGGCCGCAGGGGCGGCGCGCGGGGCTCGCGCCTCCCGCCGCACCGATCCGCGGCCCCGGCTACCCTCGCCGGCGCCCCCCGCCTCGGCGGCCGCGCTCGCCGCCAGAGCTGCGGCTCCGCGGCGCCCACTCGGGCACGCACCCCGGCAGAGCCCGGCGCCACCGCGCTCCCCCACCCCGTGCCCGGTGTCATGAAAGCGACCAAAGTGACAAGCTCGGGGGGCGAGGAGGAGGGGGCCCACACGCATCCCGCCGCCTGCGCGCCGGCGAGCCCGACGCGGCCGCCTCGCCCCGGCTCCCTTCCGCACGGCCCCACACACCCTTCCCCGTGTGCGCGCAAAGAAAAAAATACAAGTCTCTCCTCCCCCCATTTTTTCCTTTCTCTTTTCTCTCTCTTTTGTTCCTCTTTCACACTCGCACTCACTACTTCAGAGTGAGATGCCCAGAGACTCCCCTTCCAACCGTTTCCGAGTCACTTGCCCACTTTTTTTCCCCAGGATTAAGTTTTCTCCTCTTTCCCAGAGGCGCAGAGAAGTGGGGGAGAAACCCCTTCTGTCCTTTCCCCTCCCCTGATCTGTTTCACAAGACGAGGGTGCGCTTCCTTCTCTCTGTAGGTCTCTTAACTTTCATCCTCACCCAGAAAAATAAATGAATGTCTTTTGCAAGAACACATCTTCAGATTAATTAGAGATTAGATCCGATCAACCGCTTCTTACCCCCAAAATTTCTCTTTTTTTTTTCTCCGTCTCACGAGTAGTCCTGACAAATGGTCCAGGGCTGCGGGCGCAGTGCGCATGTGCGCGTAGAGTCAGAGCTGGGGAGAGGGGAAACTGCGCTGGTGCCGGTGCCGCCGCCGCCGCTGCCTGCCGGGGAGGCTCGCGCTGGCTCCCTGTGCTGCTGCTGCGCCTTCGCCGCTGGAAAGCAGGAATAAAGCTGGTTGGCAAATGCAGCCTGCCTGGAGATACTGTTTCAGGTGCATCTTTTCAAAATTCTTGTCACCGGCTCAGAGCTGGTTCAAGAACAGTCAAAAACAAATATGAAAGACAGCTAAGGTTATAGATTTCTTTGTCTATTTTTCACTTTACTTTTTTTTAAAGGCCATCCTCAGAGCAGCCAGTCTACCACGTACTGTTAAATGTATGCATTCGGCCATTCAAGAGTGGGCCTTAGTTCCATACAAACACTCCCCTAAGGCTAAATACATGCTACAGGTCATGAAAAAATATGACATAAAGTTTTAAGCTTTTACACAGAACCTCCCCTTCTTTAGGACTGGAAGAATACACGATAAAGTGTGCGTGTAAAATGCGCATTCTTTCTGTTTCTTAAGTGTTGATCTCTATTGGTAGGCAGTTTAAGCATGTTAGGCCTCTGTTGTAAAATACCTTGGGATTTGTACATCAACTTAGAAATCAGTACTGAAGTACTTGGCAATCAGCAGGTAGAGGGCTACCTCTTAGTGTATTCAGTCGAGATGGCTGTGTGAGTGGCCCCAAACAGCAAAACCTGTCTTTGTTTAAGGCGTCAAAACTAGATCAAGAAAGAGTGTTGTATTTTGATATTGATACCTTTTCACTTACTCACTGCAGGGCTCTTTTTGGGCAGCTCACCATTCTCCTCTTTTTTAAGTAAAAACAAGTAGTTGCAAAATAATTCAGTTAACTTGAACTTGTGATAATGTCAGTAACAGTTTGCTGTGCTACAATCGAAGTAGCCGGTGGATTTCAGGAATGGCAGAACCAGCTCTTACATTTTTCAGGAGTGGGAAAGTAAGACAAAGGCCCCACCCTGTCAAAGTGGACTACTTATTTTGCATCTAATAAAGGGTAAAGGAGGCCCTTTTCTGAAATTGCTGCCTGAGGCCTAGGATTTAAATATATCACAGATGGAAATTCTGTATTAAAAATCCTTCTCCAAAATGTAAGTAATATGAATCTTGACTGGATTTTTTTACTTAAGGAATGTTCCTTGAACCAGTTTCAGAAAATAAACTGTTAAATTCTTTCCTTAGGACCATGAAATTACCCTAGAGAAGCAGACCACCCGACTATTTCTTCTGTTGGTGTAGTGACTGAATTCTCCAAATCAAAAATCAAGACATATGGCTTGACGTGTACTCCAGAACAAAGGAACAAACCCTAGGAAGCTGAAATAAACTTATAAAATATGCTTCACATGTTGGGAAACCATTGGTTTAGGGGTGTGCAGTGGGGAAGGCTGGGGCAGTGAGAGCTACAGATAATCTCATACAGCCAGTTGACTACAGATGTCACCCACCGCAGCCCATCTTTCTCAGAGCTGCTGCTCTCAAACAGCATAATTAACTAATCTAAAATTTAGCTTTTCTTTTCTTCCTGGCCCTTGAATAAGGAACTGAAATGGCCAAAGGCAGAAGACTACAAGAGAAGGAAAGAAAGCCCAGGAGCCATGTGCAAAACTAAGACCTTACCCAGAAATAAACAAAAATTAATTTCAAATTCCTCTTTCTAAAAATCCATTTAAGATTCATTCTCTGCAGATAATTTTTGGATGACATTTCTGTTTCACATGTATTTTCAGAGAGGCTGGTTCAACAGTCTATAAACTTGTATTAGCGGCCTACCTTATGGTAAATACTCTGCAAGAGGCTGGGGAATAACAGAGGATTAAAAGGAGGCCAGAAGGAATTTAGTCTAGAAAGGGAGACTGTCTAGTAAACCGGGCATTGCTGTACAGTATTGGAAATGTGCAGCAGTATCGGAAATGTGAGGCAGAGCAAGTACAACTGAGGAGCAACTATGACAATAAGAAAGGCTTTCTAGAAAAAATCAGAGCTAAGCTGATGTGAAGGACAAGTGTTCAAGGTATGTGGTCCCACCCTTTTTTCTGAGACGGTGATCCAATTAATAATAATAATAATAATAATAATAAAACTCTGAGTAAAAGTCCAAGGATTTGGAGAACAAGGCTTGCCTGGGATCTGTGCACTTGTTGAAGTTCACTTACAAAAATGAGGATGAATTGAAGCTCTCTGAAACACATTGTCTTTCTCCTCAAGAGATCATCAGTAAAACCTCAAAATGTCATCTCAGTTGTTCCCAAGATGTGGTTTAGAATGGTGAATATTTTGAACGTATTCATGTGTGAGAATAATGACTTTAAAGGCTGCTACTAATTTTTTCTACAAAGAATTCTTTGGTGCCACCACCTGAGACAGAGGCAGAATGAAGCATTAGAATTCAGGTAACACTGTGGTGTTCTTCATCCAAACTGGTATAGTATATAGGACCTTTCTCCATCTGCTCCCTAAATGATCACATACTAGTATAAACTTTTTTTGCTGTTCCTTCACCCTTCTACTACTCAGTCACTGGTTAATAATTCAGGATATATCCCTGCTTTCTGGCTTCACTTAATCTCACCACTCTCCCCTCTTCCCATCCCACCCTGCTCTATCTTATCACACCTACTTATCACAGGACAAAGGAAGGTATTAGTTCACTCCCTTACTTTTCTTTATTTACACCCAAACTATTCCCCTCAAAAAGACTTCAGGTTACATTATTCCTAAGTATTCTGAAACTAAAATCAATGTATATGGAGATGTTTTAAGCAAATCACTGCACTCAGTATTCAGAGATTTCTGAGGCATCTCATCACATCCCAGATGAAGGTCATTCAAAGCCTCTCTTACTATACTCCAACCTGTAACATCCAGTCTGTGAAGTGCCATTAAGAAACCAAAACCTCCCTTTTCCTGACACTAAGACACACTCCTTCACTCCTAGAACAATTCAAGGATGAATTGAGCTCTTCCATGAGCCAGCCCCTCACAAACTGAAAGTACCCAGGACCGGAGTCCAAATTTTGGACTCCACTGTGTGATCCAGTTCTGCCACCACCCACTGGGAACACCAAGAAGTTCACCTCACATTCGAGGGCTGCAACCCCCTCATGAGTTAGACTAGGGATTTAGAGTCATTGATTTCTGAGGTCTCTTTAA